TATTAATGTGCAAACTTTAAAAATAACATTCTTATTTTTTCAAGGACATTTTCTATTCTATCATCCTTCCTGTCTACATTTTCGAGTCAAATTTGATTCTCAAAACCTGTATACTTTTGGCAACAATTTACACAAACATCATTTACACGGTCACAGGATGCATAAAGTAGCTATTTTTTCAGCATGGATTCACCCAGCGCTGAATAGAGATCAGAAGGACTTTTGAAATTGACACATGAATAGAATTTCTTCAAATGTTCACATCTTAAAAAACTGATAAATCTTACAAGATTCTACTAAAATATATTTTATTACTGTAGAAAAAAAAAAAAAAATTTTTTTTCTTTCAACAACAAATTCAATAAGAGTGAATTAATTTAACTTTTACAAATGTTTACTTGTCTCTTTTTATCTTTGCTTTTCCCCTTCCCTTGTTGAGCAAGGGTAGCAAGCTAGAACACATGCCTTCATATTTTTTTTTCCCTTTCTAGTTACCTAGACAAGAAAATACTAAAGTAACTATGAGGTCATGAAGTCGTTCTAATCAAGGAAACAAACCATCATAATTGCTAAATATTCCTGATAACTAAAATACTTTAAGGACAATTTTAACTTGTTTAACAGATTTTTGAGACTGTACATTTTGACTTTCCTTAATTGAAAATAAGGATGTACACACTTCCAATTTAGAAAATTCTAGGACTTTTCTAAGTTTCAGGACTTGTAGAAACCCTGTTCTGAAAACCAAAGATACCCCCACTTTTACAACAATATTTTGACACAGAATAATCAAGAATTGAGCTCAGATGTAAATGATTAAAATGATTTCAATTGTCAGAGAAATGCCAGAATATTTACATATATCAAATTTATGTGCTATTAGTTTAAAAACTAAATTTTAAATAAAACAAGCAAGAAATATAGTTATTCCTCTAAAAATACAAAAGCCCATTTTTTTAAGTCACTGAATATTCCAGTCAGCATTTTAAGCAAAGAATCCAGATAATTCAGTTGAGAAGATATCATCTCAATAAATCAGACGGCACTTCCATTAGACTCATCATGTTCTCTCTGGATTTTACTCAACAAAAAATAAAACAATCAAATTATAAATAAGAATTAAAAGTAAAAGTGCTCAATATCTGTGATAGAGCATAATGTAAATATAAAAGGGGGACACCGAGTGGTGACTATTTCACGCCAGAAGATTGCATGAAATACTTGCCTGTGTCCACTTATATTGAAAAAAAAAAAAAAAAAAGAAAAAAGTACAATTACCCCACCTCTTTATAACATACAAGTTAAAAGTAATAACATTTTGATCAGATCATTCACACTTTACATACAGATATATTAAAGAAGAAAAAAATAAGAAGAGCTCTTTTGTATGAAAATATTCCAAAGTCAGCATTTTAAGTGAAGAATCCAGATAATTCAGTTGAGAAGATATCATCTCAGTAAATCAGACGGCACTTCCATTAGACTCATCATGTTCACTCTGGATTTTACTCAACACAAAAATAAAAATAAAACAATCAAGTTATAAATAAGAGTATTGTTTTTACCAAAAAAAATTTTTAAACAGAATCTTACTTAATAAACTGAGTGACAGCACTTCAGACAAATAGAAAACTGTTCGCTGAGGTGAAATTTCGGTAAACTTAATGCCCAATCATTAAATCCACTAGTAAGGGAGACAAGCTAGTGCCACTGCTTAGAAGACATCCATTAAGCCGAGGTAGGAAGTAGCCTAATAGCTTCAGAGATTTGTTAGTCCACAATGGTGAGTCCAATCCTAGAGAGGATCACAAAAGTCAGCATAGTTAACAGGCATTAAGTGAAGAACCCAGATAATTCATTTAAGAAACTATCATCTCAATAAATCAGACAGCGCTTCAATTAGACTCATGTTCTGGCTGGATGTCACTCAAAAAAGTTATGAGAATATTGTTTTTACGCCCTAAACATTATGGCTGAAATGTGCTTCAAAATTAAATAAAATTGGAAGAAACCTCCTTAAGTAATTACTTTGGAAAATTTTAAATATTATTGCAAATGATGGTTTCTTTCCTTGATTAGAACGAGTTCATGACCTCATAGTTATAGCCAGTACCTTTCAACAGATGATGATTAAAGGATGAAATGAAAAAAAGAATTCATGTACAAAAATGATCAAGATTTATTAAAAAATAAATAAATAAATAAATACAGATTTCATTAAATATTGGAATTTCACATAGGATAATTCTTTTTAGATGAAGTTATACATCTATCACAAGAAATAAAGTTACGGTTAGAAAATTCCAAGTTGTTGTTGATGGTATTATTATTATTATCCACAACTGAGACAACCTTTGAATTTACAGTTCTTTCCTCACAATAATGTTTACCTAAAACATGTGGAGAATGAGAAATTTCAAAGATTTTACACATAACTGATAAAATTCTTATTTCGGCCAAACAAGGCTAATATATTTTCATTTTCAGTCCAGAATGTCAGAAAAGAAAGATATCATCCATGCATATCAGACGGCACTTCCATTTGACTCATCATGTTCTGGATTTACATGCTGACAAAATTAAATTAAAACCAAGGTTTTAATAAGTTATTCTATTGTTAAGGGCTAAAAAGGAACATTTTATGACCAAAAATAAAAATGCATTCAGTTTAGTCAAATTTTAAAAATTAAAACTTCAATTTCTTCTGCCACTTCAAGGTGGGCCCCTTACAATTATAGGAAAAAAAAAAGTTAATGTTTCATTCTTCTTTAGCTATGCAAAAAACTAAATCCTTTTGTGAATATTGGTATCCCAGCTAGTTTTGATACTATCAAACTCTTCCATAAAGATCCCAAAGCAGCCAGTGTCAATAAAGTCAGACTTCAGTTTAGCATTATACCAACATTAAGAGGAAAGATCTGATATTATACAGAAATGATTTTGAAATTAATGCTTACTGCCATTTTACCAATATTGGAAAGAACATAAGAGAATCAAACTAGAAGTGTAGCTGAATATAAATAATACGCACATACACATAAAGACACAAATAAACTGCCTCAATTTTTTTATCCTTCACAATCAAAACCTGAATCTGCCAAAAATTTAAATCTATCTATAAAAGGCGGGATATGTGTGTGTGTGTGTGTGTGTAACGAATGCACGGCCACAATTTGACGGATTTGCACCAAAATTTACATGCACAAAGTTAGTGGGAAGGCCAAGACCGACTTTGCATATGTTTCTACACCAGTTTTCGGCCATTTTGCACTGGCCAGAGTGAGAGCCTATAGCTGGCTGCCACGAATAGGCAGGAAGATTCTATTGGCCAGCATGAGAGCCAACAGTTGACGGACACAAATGCTAACTAAGCATGCTAGCATGCAAAAAAAAAAAAAAAAAAAAAAAAAAAATCGATAGCTGCATTCGTCACAAGTGGGAAAAATTTCTATCTGCATGGCACTTTACTCCAATTGGCTCATTCGCTTGCTTAAACTCAACGTTGATTCCGATTCCGCAGAACTGGGTTGGGTGTGAAAAAGTATTTGTTGTTAACATTCTTTTTCCATTCGTTTTTTCCAGTTACAAGTCCTTTTTTAGAGCTGATCGTTTTGTGTTCATTTTGTTTAGTTCTTTTTTTGTAACAGATTTAATGTTTAGTATAGAGCTTAGAAAAAATTTGCAGTATGAGATAGGCAAGAAGTAAGGCATGTAGCAACATCAGCACAGCAAAGGGCACTCCTTTAAAGGCAAGGAAGGGCAAAAATATTTTAAGTCAAGTGATAGCAATTGCTGTAAGAGTCATATGATTTTTGAATCAAGCACAGGCAATGCTGCTAGTTGTAATATAATGTGATTTTTAGCAATGCAAAGTATAAAAATGTTTATTTTTCTTTTTATAGATTCTGAAAGAATTTAATTTATTTTCCATTTATGTTCCTTTGAAACATTAAATGTACGAGTTATCAAAGAAAAAGAAAAAAAAAAAAAAAAACTTCATTTTTATATAATTTCTTAAATTGTTAATTATACAATATATGTAAGCTACTTCTTTGCCAGAATGTGTAATTAAAAATATACATAGTAGGTGAAGATTAAAAAAATGTTTCGATAATAAATACTTAGAGGAAAAATTTTTAATAAATTATTTTCTAGATGTGTTGACAAACATTAACATTCTCTTTATTTCTGTCAATGAAATGAAACTCAAGATTTCTAAGCCAATTAAATGAAGTGGCTAAAAGTGACTTTTTTTTCAATTTTTTTTTTGATGAGTACCTGTACCAACTTTCTAGAGGAAAAAAAAAAAAAAGACATCCCAAATAATTGAAGTGGTCTTCTCAGGTTAAATTTAGGTTTTATTTAAAAAAATCTTATATAAAAAAAAGGAAAAAAAAACCTTCTACCCAATTTGATGTATGCCAACAAAAATTGAAACAATTTAAAAAAAAATTGTAATCCAATATTTGTTCCAGATATTGGCTTCAAATTAGTAAATTTATGGATTAGATTTTGTAAAAATATTACTTTTTGCCTAATGTGTAACAAAATTATCCCCCCCCCCAAAAGTATGTGCTAAATTGTCGACACGTTCAATGGGTAAAGATTTTCTTATATAACCCTGCCACAAATCAAATACAATATGGAAAAGCAAACTGACCACAATCAAGGAACATGTTCATTGTTCTATCAGTAACTTGAGAAATATTTAAATATAGACATTTTTAATGCCATTTTTCGGCCTATGTTGGCAGGTAAATAGTCCTAACTGAAAAGATATTCATCACTATATTTTAAGTAAAAAGTTATTATTCAGTAAAATGCTAGAAATTTTGTTTTGCTAACTACTTTACATTTTAAATTTTTAAATAATTTAAAAGTCAACATGATGGAATCCTGTAATATTTAATTTGCAAATGTAAAAAAAAATTTTAAACCACTTTCTTTAAATGAATTTTGAAATTTCCATTGTTACTGCTAAAATAGGAAGATTCACTAACCTTTTTCCTGCATTCAATTTTCTTTGCCCATTGACTTTGAGCCCAACGCCTGTTAATGGCTTTCCTTTCCCAAGCAGTCTTCACTTCATGACTTTTGGCAGAATGACGGAAATTAAGAACAAATCTAGTCAAATGCAAACTTTTGAAGTTGATTGCCAGAAGAGGAACACCTGTGACAGGTCCTACAACCAGAGCCTAAAAGAAAAAAAAAATTTATTCAGAAAATACAAAGTACTTTTTACCTGTGGTAAAAATTTAGTTTTAAACACTAGTTTTTTTTCTTCTTTTAAGCACACATGCCAATAAAGTGAATTTATTACATCAGAATAAGTAAACAATTCAGGCATACCTGATGAAGATCTTATTTTGCAATATTAGTACAAAAAAAATTTTTTTTTTTTTTGATGAACACTAAAAAGTGTAACAAAGACAATGTTTCTAATATGAAATAAAGACTGAAATTGCCTTTATTATGATCCAATGGTTTTCTCCCTTTATTAGGTCACTTCAATTAGGTTTCAAAAGGTTTTTAAAATTTATTTAGCTTTAAAAGTTTAAAGCTTAAACTAAGTTTTACTTTTTTTCAATTATTATTTCACTAAATATTTTTATTTTACGTATTTACATTTGTGTGGGTCATACTTCAATTGAGTAATCATGGTATTTCATTTGATATTAAATTATAAAATTATTTGAAGAAAATTTTATAGTATCTTAATTTTTTACATCTCCAAAAAGTCAATAAAATATTAATTGCAAAAAATATATTCATTAGTAAAAATTACTAGGTAGTTAAAAACCAAAAGAAAATGCATTCACTTAGATTTCTGACAATTGGGTCATCCATAGTAGCTGTCATCGCTTCATCAATCAACAGTCCATCAAAGTTTGAATCTTATGAACAGGACCAATCGTTAATAATTGGTTGTATATTATTTTTTTTATAATATTTATTTCAAATCAGATTAATCTAACTTTAAATTTTTCTAATTATTTATTTTTATTTTTTGAAATAATTTTAAAATAGAAAATTTCGATTTCTTAAAATCTTAAAAGCGTCCAATTTCTTAATTTTAAGAAATTTGTAAACAAACAAATTTTTCTATTTTAAAATTATTTCAAAAAATAAAAATAAATAATTAGAAAAATTTAAAGTTAGATTAATCTGATTTGAAATAAATATTATAAAAAAATAAGAATGAAGAAAATGGCTGCTTTTAAAGATTTAAGAAAAAAAATAATCAAGCAATTATTTAACATTCCAATCTATAATTTCTATCTGAAATACATAATAGAAATAATTTAATCATTTAGCTCTTAATTAAAGCTAGAATAAAATTTTGAGGAATGCTTATACATTTTTAAAATTTAATTTTAAACCTCAAATAAAATTCAATGGATCTAGGTACCTCAACTTTTTCGCCGGAAAACAGCATAGCGTAATGAAAATGGCTACAAACTTAGTTTTATCATCAAAATGTTTGTTATTATTAAGATGAAAGACCAAAGTATTTTTTAATTATTTTTTGAAATTTTTTTAATCCTTTCTAACACGTTTGAAATTTTGGTTAAAGTCTTTTGTTTACGTCATCGTGGTGACATGAAAATAACGGATTTTTTTTGTGCTTTTTTTCATTGAAAACTAGAAAACACATTGAATTTGAAATTCTTGTAAAAATAAAGTAATTGTTCGATTTTAATGAAATTTTCAAGACTTATTTACAAATGAATGAAATTATTTTTGAATACTTTTTTTTTTTTAGATTTTGGTAAAAAATATTTTTTTTTAAATATGTTAACCCCCACAACTTAATTTCATGAAATTTCACACAAAAGCCTTCTATTTCCTGAATTTTTTTTTTTTTTTTTGTTAAAAGTAGAGTCTTTGGAGATTGTAAATCACCTAAAAACTTGAGCTATCTAACTGGAAATCTGCTCTGAATTGAAAAATAATGAATTCAATAAAACCATGACATTAGTTAATTAGAAAATCTTTTAATAGCTTTTGTAAATAACTATTATTAAGGACATTATTGTCTGAAGAAATTAAATTTTTCTGATGAATAATGAATTTTTACAAGAATTTTTACATTTTTTTTTTTTTAATTATAATTTACAATAGTTTAAAATCGTGTAAAATTCTGTATTGGGTTATTTCCTGGATGTGATATAGTAATTAAGTGGAAATGAAATTCACGAATCCAAAATTGCAAAGATTAATGAGCGTAATTGTGCTATTTTATTTTTAAAATAATCTAATTTTTTTTGACTTAATACGTTCCTTATTTCCAATTTATTTATTCGAATTTTAAAAAGCGAAAAATATTTTGTAGCTTTTTAGTTTTAATTTATAGATTCAATTTTTAGCCTTATTTTTAGTTGTCTTTTATTGCAATATAATTCTTTATTAAAATTATGTTCTTAAGTGAAGAATAAGATGCTCAATTATTTCTTCATAATTATATCCAGAATGTCAGATTAGAAAATTGTCATTCCTTAAAATCAGAGCATTTCCATTTCACTCATGCTCTGGAAACAATTCTTAGAAATTGTTTCATATCTCTCAAATCGCACAAAGTTATTAAGAAAAGTTTTTTTTAACTAAAAAAAAAAAAAATCTTACGGATGAAAGTTTAAATAAAATTATAAAATTAAAAAAGCCAATCTAAAATGAACTAAAATCTTTGGACAGACATGAATGTAACCATTTAACAATTTCTGAGGAGAATAATTTAAAAAGACCTTTTCCTTACTTTGTTCTGGTCAATAATATCAATAATGGCACACAATCGTCCAGAAAAAGGCCCGCTTACGATGTAGGCGACGCGCCCAATTTCTACAAATTTCTTATTAAAAACCTGCAAAATAATTAATATTAAGATTAGTAAATGCAAAAATTAATGTTAACAAGAAGAAAAAAAAAAAATGAATGAACACAGCAGAAATATTACAAAGCACAATTGTGTCGGATACGAAAAGAGAAATATCCACACCTTTTTTTAATAGAATCATTTCAACAATATTGTGAACAATGGTAATAAGTTTTGTTGAGCAATTTTTTTTTTTTTTTAAATATTTTTGAACTGAAAAATAACGGTAGATATCACATTTTTAGATGAGAAAAATAGTCAGCCCTTTTTCTGAATTTTTATGTATGAAAATACCTAAAGAAAGTCAGAATTCAATTAATAGAAAAGAAAAAAAAAATAATCAAATTTACTTATTCTCTTATGCAAACGAAAGAAAATGTAAAGACACATTTGCCGTTATTAAAATCTTAGAATTAAAAAAATATATATCACTTTTATGAAGCTATCAATCGATTCTTAAAAAAAATAAAAAATTAAATAGAATTCAATAAAAATAATCACTCCTCTTATCATGAATTTCGATTGAATTCAACACCTCTATAAAATTGTGTTCCTTAAACCGAAATGATCGATACAATTGCGTTATGTGGCAGTAATTTTAAGTAAAATGATGCACTAAAATAAGTAACCAAGTAATCGTTTTAAGTTTTCTCCGTGCCAAAAAATTCTACAGGACGATTGGATTCAAGTGTTAATAATTTCATAACTATGCTTTTAAAACTTTACTTTTTTTCCTCAAGATTTGAAAAGATCACTTAAATCTATAAAATAGATTTATTAGTTAATAGTACATTTACGATAAAAATCCTTTAGCCAACATATTACGATTTATGAGCACATGTGCTTGGTTAATTTTGCTTCTTGTCTATGTAAAAAGTGCTATTTATTCACATTCAAATAAGTTTTTCTCTTCATTAATATTTTTAAATAACTTGTTTTATTTTTTTTATACTTGAAGACAGCGTGCTGGTTCGCCATGATTAAAAGCACGCGTGTATTTTAATTTAACCTTCTAACTAAATGGAATCGACCAAACTTCACGTGAAGAAATTTCAAGAGTACATCCAATTCTAACAGTCAATTTTAATAATACACAAGATTGACTACGAATAAAATGGCACATAACCCAGACAATAATGAAAACCCACACAAAAGACAGTTCATCTGAAGCATTATCTATCTATAAGTTCAAGTCGCCATATTGAAAAAACCATGTGTGGTTAAATTGTACAAGCTAAGATTTTAATCAAATTAACACTTCGAAACTAATGCGTGTTCACTAAAAATAAATATATCTTTGCAATAAATTAACCTTAATGAAATATTTTGAATAAATAAACACTAAAATCAAGTTGTAAAAACGAAAAATAACTGAAATATTGTCGCCACAAAAAACCACGCTACTCACCATTCTGGCTGTATGCCGAGTAAAGGAAGTAGTAAAGTGCGCAACTGTGAACGTCACTTTTTACATACTTCCGGATTAATTATTTCCGTTTTTCTATGTAGTATTTTTCCCTTTTTATGTTTTATTTTTTAAAAGAAACTGAAATAAATATAATTACGCTTTATTTATTAATATAAAAATAATAATAAATTATTCAATGGAATTTTAATTACAATATCACCGTTTATTTCCGAAGCCAATTCCGCACCAAATTATTTAATGTGGGACTTTGAATTTCTCACTATCCGGGTCACTTTGTAGTGTGCTGAACAAACTCTCTGCCTCCGGGCGAAGAGGATCTCCGGACGAACCTATATCAAAGGGCAGAGTCTCGCTACTCGACCCCGTTTTTTACGGGGAATTTTTGGCCGAGTCTACAGGCTTGGATACCTCACAATAAAGTCGGCCTTGTGCCACATATGACCGCGTGGGGCGGTTAGTGAATATATTTATTTTTTTTAACTTACTACGAATGTTTATACTTTTCGGTATAATTTTCATAATATTTTTTTAGTTAGATCATAAAAATATTCCTGTAAGCTAAAGCTATATTTTTATTGAAAAGAAAAACAAGGGGAAATAAATGCTAACACAACTGATAGCTTTTTTTACTTATCAACCAGCAGTTAATTTTTGAGAATATTCCATCCATATCGACCAAACAAAAGCTTTGTTTTCTATCCCAATGTCCGCTGATTCAGTCTACTAATCTGATAATTTTCTCCAAACAATTACCACTCTTTATGACAATTTGTCTTCAGGTTATTAACTCTAAAAGTTTTAGTATGCATGGTGATTTATTAAGTGTAGCTTAGATGTATTGTAGCACAAGGGCAAGATTAAACAGCACCCTGTGAGGATTATACTCACTACCGTAGAATTCAAATCTTACATAGTTCTCAAAATCAGCACAACTAAAAGAAAAAAAAAACTGAATTTTTGCAAAGTAAAGACGTTTTTGATTGGTTAACAAATATTAAAAAATACATTTCACTTGTTCTCAACTACGCCCGATCGAATCACCTGTGACACAGTAAAAAAAAAAAACCCTTAGTCCTACTTATTCTGGTCCTCGTAAGGTCCTGGATAAGAAGTCTAAGTACTTCACTCTACTTATCCAGGTCAAATCCAATACTGTTTCAGTTGATCAACTGAAACCAGCGTACATCAATTTGTCATTTCAACCTGCTATTGAAAGAAATCAAGCACCTTCAACACAACCAAAACAGTCTTTAGCCTTACCACCACCTGCAAATGTTACTAGAAAATCAGACAGACACGTGCATTGGCCTACCAGATACAAGACTCACATCATATATTGAGAAATATTTTCAGTATTTCCCAATCTGCAGGGGTGCATGTAGAATTCAAATCCTACATTGTTCTCAAAATCAGCACAACTAAAACAGGCTCCAAACTGAGTTTTCACAAAAATGTTTTCTGATTAGTTAACAAATATTAAAAAAATACATTTCACCTGTTCTCAACTACGTCCGATTAAATCAACCTAGTTTCTGACCTGACTTAAAACACTGATTGCGCCAAGCAATTTGGAGCCAATCACGTGATACAAGTTTTCAATAAATATGAAACATTCATCCTGGGCAGTGAGACAAACCAAGTTTTTCAACTCGACAACGAACCTATCACCCAATTTCAGACTTAACCATAATTACTTAAATTAACATAAACCCAGCTTGCAAAGGAACACTCACTCAAACAATTTATTTATTTCAATCCAAACATCACAAGTTAAAACTCCAGTCAAAGCACAACAACTTTGTAGAAATCATAGTAAGTCGAGAACAATACTTCTAATTTACAAAAACAAAACTTTAATTTTCCTACAATTACAATAATACTTAAGCACACTTTCTCATTTTCATACACACAGTTCAACAACTTCAAATCTTACAAACCAAAACTTTAATAACGCTACAAACCAAACAAAACTTTGGAACAATTTAAACTACTTGAACAACAAATATTTGTACCTTTATTGTGTTATATAAATGTTTTAATTGTTGAACCAATAAATTGTTTTTACATTATTATTTCTCTTGTTGCTTACTCATCTTTTTGTGCATTTGTGAATTAAAATATGTAGGGATTTGAATATATCCACATTCAACCACTACTCAGTTTGTGTGTGTTGTGTTATCAATTATTCATTCTTCAACGGATCTTTCTTTCATGTTAATTTATCACAACACTTCACTGATTCTAAAGATATAAACTAAATTTTTATTTCATTCTTTGATTGAATGCCCGGGGGCCGTTGCACCCTCTGTCTCACTTCTACATGCTACTGACTGAAATAGCTTCATGTTTTTTTTAATTATCCTACTTAAGTAACCATACCAATCTAATAAATAGTACTTTAGAGAAATAAGTTAATCTCAAGTGTTTTCTAGGTCATTTTTTATTTTAGTCAAGTAATTTATTACTTGTTCTCATTCTCAGCTGACTTTGCAAATGTAATTGATGGATACATGGCCACACCCATTTGTATTACATTAACTAAGTTATCTTCAAGTTAATACAGAGTTGATTCCTTGAGAATCTTTCAACTAATTGAATTCATTAAAACTGATTTTTCTTAATATTTGTTATAGACAAGCGTATGGTTGCAAGAAAGAAATACGACAACAGTAGAAATAGATTTACGTGGTTTATTTCAACAGGAACGTGAGGGTTTGGGACAGCTACCTTGTGGTAAAGTTCATAAGCCGGCTTCCGGATCTGCTCGATCTCTCATAGTAGTTCACATATGTTGACGGTGGTTGACGCTCCCCTGCTGCTGATCGCTCAGCCTGACCGTCAGGTCTGTTCGCTGGCCACCTGTTGACTGACTGTTGAACTTTCGTGTGACCCCTTTTATAGCGATTTTTATGGCTTAACAGGCTCGAGAAACGAAGCGAGTATAATTAGGAGGGAAGCATTTTTATTGGACGAAAAATAGAGCACTTTAAATATTATTTTATTTTTCGACCGGAACACGTGTGTCGGAAACATTTGTAAAGAAAGATAATGGTCATTTTGTGACGGGGCTTTGTCCCGTTCACATCCGGTTCTCGCTCTTGAGTATTTGCCTGTAAATCTTATTTTTATGTCTTATTTTATTTTATAACATATTTATGCATATTTAATTCCAATTGTCAATAAATTAAACCCAAGTCTTCTCCCATGTTTCCCTCCAGTTCTATACTATAAAACCAGACCTTTTTACATTTAACACTGTTCATCAATTACTGTCAAACCTCATTAGCACTATACTTACTCTGCATGAGTAGTTCACCACACACAAAAAAGATTCCTCAAAGAATTCATTAATTCAAAATGAGAATCCCTTTTTAATACAATACAAAATTGGCATAAGGTCATCAAAAGTCAGGAAAAATAAAGGGATAACTGAATGAATGATGTTATGAATTTATATGAATAATTTTGTCAAAAAAAAAATATATGACAAACATTTGCATCAACCACCTGTATCAGAAGTCAGTATTTGAACTCTGTTAAAAGCCGCAAATTTAAATGCTTATTTTCAAAGCAAACAGACTCTTCCTATTTGGAAGATATTAACATATCACAATCTTCCTATCCTTTGGAAAGGAAGTACAAAGTGATAAGAGGTTTAATTTCTCATATTCAAGATTATATTTTATTCCACTTCTTTGTTAATTACTCTCAGCCAGTGTATAAGTGGGTGTGTTGTAGCGTTGCAGCTCAGATCTGACAGCAGGCTCATTCTCAGAGTACAGCTTCTTCTAGTCAAACATTTGTAGCTTAAAAATAACCCTTTGACCAAATCATTACCCACAAATTAAAAACATGAGACTTTTGTAGCAGTAAGCAACTTTTATTTTACAGTTGTAATTTACTGCTATAGACGAGTGAGGAAAAATGAAGTATAGGTGAGGGGGAGGGGAACAGGCGTCTTCCCTTTTGCATCGCTGCAAGGTGATCTTCTCATCAATCTCTGTCAATCCGTATTTTTTTTCTGGTAGTGACCACTGTCTTATAAACAACATTGCACTTTGTCTTTTTATCTTTGTCTAAAAAAGTAATTGATCTTCATTCATGGTACCTGTGAAATCCACTTCACTAAGCTCATAATCATCAGGAAAATGTTTGAAACCATTTTTGTAGCATTTAACAAGATATTGGTTGACACTGATATCACTACAGTGTGCATGCAGCCTCAGAGTCATCATTTGAGATGTAGACCTTATATTCTCATCTGTACATCTCCTCACTGTATAGCGAAGAAAATGGCAACTTACCTTGTCAAACCAAGTGACAGTGCGTCGCATGTATCCTACGACGGAAAAGAAAATTACTTACCAAAAAAAAGGGCATGTATTCCACATGACATGCTGAAGACAGAATATTTAGATTAAAAACAAGTCCGTCGCAAGAGTCTCTGTAAAACTATTTTGTTATGCAAAATACTTGGCATCCTCTCCCAGTTGTCGACGAATGAAAAAACTGCTTGGCCGATAAAAGCAGTTGGTGTTCTCAAATTGAGAGGAAAAACTGATGTATTTTGGCTACCACGTTCATCAACGAGTGAGTTATATTTCTGACTGGTTATGTACATTGGTATTTGTGAGATAGTACCTGTGAATTGGGTTTTCGGTATTTCTTTCTGTCCCCGATATTTGGGTCTGAACTTACAGTGATTTGTTCTCTGTATTGTGGAATTAATCTGCAACAAACATTTCCTTTGCTTTCAGAATGCTTACACACTGGAGTAGATGTTTTATATATATATATTTGTTTGAATAAAAAAAAGACCACTTTAAGGTTCCATGTAATAAATTATTTCACCACAGCCCTTTTAAAGGGCTCTGGATCATCAGACTTTACTTCCAATGCCTGTTCAATGGTTTTTCTCACATGTTTACCTTTTGGGATTGCAACTGATATTGACTCTTGCACCTGAATTCTCTGAAGGGCAC